TGCTAGGATTATAGACACTTGATCTCTGTATAGTCCAGCTTTTATGTGGGTTCTGGGGATTTGAACTCAGGTCAGGTCCTAATGCTTGCAAAGCTAGCACTTTTATCCATTGAGCCATCTCCCTGTTTCTTCATATATTTTCTTGTTTAATCTTGAAAATCTATGACACATAAAAATATTCAAGGCCATACAGCTTAAAAGGAAAACCTGGATTTAAATTCAGATCTCTTCACAAGCTACAGTAATTGTCCATGAAACTATATTGATTCTCCAAAAGGATAATGAAAGAGAACTCTTTTATATAAGAATATCTATGAGAGGCTGGAGAGATGGCTTAGTAGTTAGGAGCATGTGCTTGTAGTGGAATTAAGTTCATTTCCCAGCATCCATACTGAAGAGCTCATAGCTGTCTCCAACTCCAAGGGGATCTGGCACCTCTGGCTTCCACAAGCACCTACATGTATGTACACATATCCACACATGGACACACACATATATACACATAATTAAAAAAAATAAAGCCTAGCTGGGCAGTGGTGGTGTCCGCCTTTAATTCCAGCACTCAGAAGGCAGAGGCAGGTGGATCTCTTTAAGTTCCAGGCCAGCCTGGTCTACAAATTGAATTCTAGGACAGCCAGAGGTGTTACACAGAGAAACCCTGGGGTGGGGAGGCTTGAGGGAGAGGCAAAAAACAAACAAACAAAAAAAAACGTTAAAAAGATGAAGGGACTAGAGATGTCTCAGAGGTTAAGAGTACTCACTTGTCGCTCATGTGGCTTACAATTGCCTGTAACCCCCATTCCTGGGGATGTGACGTCCTCTCCGTGGGCACCAGGCACACATTGTGCTCATATGTACATAGGGGTATACAGACACACAACCTGAGACGGGGAGGGTAGAACTGATTTGTGATGAAATGCCTCTGTGTTTTGGGTAGGTTCATCCTGATAAAAATCATCATCCCAGGGCTGAGGAGGCCTTCAAAGTTTTGCGGGCAGCTTGGGACATTGTCAGCAACCCAGAGAGGCGGAAGGAGTATGAGATGTGAGTTTGAAACGGAACATTTCAGGTGAAGTAGAGGGAAAACCTCAATAGAAGGTCCTAGGCTTGTGGGTGGAAGCTCTCAGGCAGAAAGAACTTACTTGTCATTTTATCTTAGCCAGCAGCCTCTAGAGCAGTGGGTCTCAACCTGTAAGTCGTGACCCATTTGAGGGTTGACTGACTCTTTCACATGGGTTGCATATAAGATATCCTTTGTATCAGATATTAATTACAGTTATAAAGTAGCATCCAAAGTTTTATGGTTAGGGTCATCACAACATAAAGAACTGTATTAAAGGGTTGTAGCATCAGGAAGGTTGAGAACCATTGTTATACAGATATCCAGATATGTCTCTCTTTATACCTTAATACCCTGACTTACAAAACCTTTCTTCTTTTAGGAAACGAATGGCAGAGAATGAGCTGAGCCGGTCAGTGAATGAGTTTCTCTCGAAGCTACAAGATGACCTCAAGGAGGCAATGAATACGATGATGTGCAGCCGCTGCCAAGGAAAGCATAGGTATGAAACAGGGCGGCAGGAGCACGGCAGTGCAGCTTAGGGATTGGGTGACCAAGGCCTTCCTGTGAGTACTGTTGATGACTGGAGTACAGACGGTGAGCAAAAAGACCCCGTCTTCTTCTTTTGTCCTACTAAGGACTGAGGATTTAGGGCTGGTGGAGAGATGGCTCTGTGGTCAAGAGCATTTGCCAGGGAACAAACAAATCTTTAAAATAAAATAAAAAGATTGAGGATCTCAACTGCTGATGCCAGCTCTCATAAACTAGGCGTGATGACACATGGCTATAATGCCAGCACTTAGGCGATGGAAAGGGAAAGATCATTCACAGCTATACGCTATATGAAGTTCAAGGCTAGGCTGAGCCAAGTGAGATCCTGTCTTACCCTAAAGGGAATAGAAGTTAATCCTGTACTACATAGGAATGACTATGTCCTGGGGACATAGATTCAGGTTATGTGCCAAACCATGTTCAAACATGGTAACAGTTTCAGGAAGTTTTTATTTATTTTTTTAGATTTTAAATTTTATGTGTGTTTGCCTTTATGTATGCATACTAGGGCTTGAGAGATATCTCCATGGTTAAGAGTACTAGCTGAAGCCGGGTGTTGGTGGCGTACTCCTTTAATCCCAGCACTCGGGAGGCAGAGGCGGGCGGATCTGTGAGTTCGAGACCAGCCTGGTCTACAGAGCGAGTTCCAGGATAGCCTCCAAAACAATACAGATAAACCCTGTCTTGAAAACCCAAAACCCAAAACAAAAAAACCCAAACAAACAAACAAACAAAAAAACCAGCACTAGCTGTTCCTCTAGAGGACCCAGGTTCAATTCCAAGCAGCCACACGGTGGCTCACCACCATCTATAACTCCAGTCCCATAGGATCTGATACCTAATGCCCTTTTCTGACCTCCAAGGGTACCAGACATGCATGTGGTACACAGACATACAAACACTTGTACACATAAAAGAAATAAGAATTAAAAACCAAAATAAAATGTGATACTGATTCCATCCATTAAAAAAAAGGTATCAGATTCCCTAGAACTAGAGTTACAGATTGTTGTGAACCACCACATGGGTGCTGGGAATCAAACCCAGGTCCTCTCTATTCTCAACTGCTGAGCCATCTCTCCAGCTCCTGAAGTGTTTTTGTGTTTTTTCAATCTTTTCCGTTACATTTATTTATGTGTGTATACTTAGGTCACTCCCTCACAAAAACCACAACCACCACCACGACAACAACAGGCTAGGGTGTGAAAATAGAACATTAGTTGGGAAGAGGGAGGGTACCAGTGGGAATGGAAGTAAGAAATAAAGGGTAATAGCCGGTGAATAGTGTCAAAATATATTGTATACATGTATGGAAATATAATCAGAGCACATTATTGTCTATAATTGTTATGTGCTATTAAAAACATTAAAGAAAGAAAAAAATAGTTTAAATATAGAAACGTGAAAGCAGAGTATGGAACTATTCTCCTGTAACCCCGGCACTTACAAGTCTAGCCTGGGCTACATACCATGACCTTGCCTCAGACTAAAAGAAAATTGAAGGCAGAGTATAGAGAAGCAGATATTATAGCAGAGTAAAGATAACTTTTAGTGTTTGGCCATATTTGACAGTAATGGCCACTTGAAAAGTATTAAGGAATTATTGTATTGGTTTGCAGGAGGTTTGAAATGGACCGAGAACCTAAGAGTGCCAGATACTGTGCTGAGTGTAACAAGCTTCACCCTGCTGAGGAGGGAGACTTTTGGGCAGAGTCAAGCATGTTGGGCCTCAAGATCACCTACTTTGCACTGATGGACGGAAAGGTCTATGATATCACAGGTATACTTCTGACCTCTAAATACAAGATCATTTTTCTTTATCTCATTTGCTATGAATGGGTGTTTCGGGTAATTATCTCTATTTGCAGAGTGGGCTGGATGCCAGCGTGTGGGGATCTCTCCAGACACCCACAGAGTTCCTTACCACATCTCATTTGGTTCTCGGGGACCAGGCACCAGTGGTCGGCAAAGGTAGGTGGTGCTTCTCACTTAGCCACCATTTCAGTTGTGAGTATGGTTTTAGATGCCTAGCTCTCTAGGGGGTTTGGAAACTGACCCAGTGTGTGGTTAATTTTGGTAGCTGATTGTATGTCTCCTGCCTCATTCTGTGTTCTCTCCTCCCTCAGGGCCACACCAGAATCTCCTCCTCCTGACCTGCAGGATTTCTTGAGCCGGATCTTTCAAGTACCCCCCGGGCAGATGTCCAATGGGAACTTCTTTGCAGCGCCTCATCCTGGCCCTGGGGCCACTGCAACCTCCAAGCCCAACAGTACAGTACCCAAGGGAGAAGCCAAACCTAAACGGCGGAAGAAAGTGAGGCGGCCCTTCCAACGTTGACACCCTTCTCTTCCTTCCTCAATCAATGTCAGGGAGTTAAAAGGGCTGTGTACAGCACAGGATGGAATTTGATTTATTTTTAAATACTTTAAAAAGGGAAAAATTTAAATTGTTCACTCAGTACTTAGAGGAAGTCCATGACCTATTCTCCCTCTTGCCCAGCACCTAGGAACTGAATCTTGTCTTTTGACAATACCAAAGAAACAGGAGGTGGCTAGAGCAAGGGACGTGGGGTCTGGGTCTAGTCCAGACAGTACGTTCCCGAGGTGTGGGGACTGGGCATTTTCTGGGTTCTGTATGCCTTTATCTTATCATTTGCTCTCAGAGCAAATGAAGCTCACCCTTTTTAAATGAGTATATCTTATTTCTTAACCCATTTCAGGGGTTCCTCCCCCTTTACCCTGATGTACAGGTTAAAAGAAAAAGCATGTAGCCCTAATTTTGGAGATACACAATTCAGAGTGCAAACTGAATTTTTCCCCTTTCACTTTATGGGAAACCACCTAACTTTAGGCTCATTGTTGCAAGGATGGCCAAAATTAATTCATTTTTAAAAAGCAGACTTACGCCCTGTGCCCTTGGGTGAGGGGGAAGCATAGAGGGGTTCCCAGAGGCCCCTTGTGAGCCAAGGGTTTGTATTTTTTTAAGTTTGTTCATATTTGTATGTACATATCTATTTAAAGCCAGGGAATTATCTTTCTATAAATATATAACTGGCAACTTATATTTTCCTTCTTTTCTTTGCCCACATAGCTTGAGTTCTCTTCTATTTTCCTGGAAACAGTCTTACTATGTAGACTAGGCTGGCCTCCAGCTGGCAGTAGTTCTTTGACCTCTGCCTCCTGAGGGCTGGGATATAGGCCGTGCCACACACACAGTTCAGGAACATTTTTGCTTATTTGAGAATTCTTTCTTTGCTGTTAGCTGAGAGTGAAGGGTATCCTGTATTGGATCAAAGGCATGGTGATAAAAATTTGCTTAAAATTTTTTTTGTAGTAAGTCAGGATTCCATTTTCCTCCCCAGCATTGTGAGAACATCTCTCTATTCCTCTTGCTTATCAAATTTCAGTCATAACTGAAAAGACTTTATTTTAAGGAAAATATACAGCAAAACAGAACTTGAAGGTGGTACGTTTGGAAAACATAATCTCCAGATAAACTGCCCGAGTGTGGATAGCTTCTTGCTGTACAGAGGAGAGTGGTGTGGCCCTTAACCTCATCTCTTTCCTGATTCAGAGAATCTTGACCCTATTAGGGCTGGGCCCAGGAACCCCATGTTACAACTTCTTCCTTCTTGGAGTTTAGACAGGTTTGTCCTATATCTCAGGCTTCCAAGATACAGAAGATAGTATGGACAAGGGAAAACCATTGTCTCTTTGTTCCAGTGCCTTCCCTCAGTGCCTATAGAACTCTCAACCCACTTATCAGTATTTGTTGATTCCAAAGAGACGGACCCCATGAAATTGGGGCAGCTTAGGCAGCAGTACACTGAGCAGTGAGGCAGTGTTGATGATGAAATGCGCAGCGTCGTACTTGGTATAGAAGCTGGCCAGCAGGTAGCTAGGGAGAGGAAAAGAAAAGGATAACAAGGTTGGCTTCCCATATCCACAGCCATGCTTTCCAGTGCTTTTCTTTTCTATTTTGAATTGCTAGTTTTATTGCATATTGTCCTTCGTAGTCCAAAGGTACTTCAGCTAACTCAATAGTATTTAATGTGAGGTCTAGGATATAATCAGAAGACATCTTTAACTAGAGATTATAAATCAGTTGTTTGCTAATATCATCTCCCCCCCCCAAGAGCTGAGGACCAAACCCAGGGCCTGTGCTTGCTAGACAAGCACTCTACCACTGAGCTGAACCCCCAGCCCATCTGCTAATTGTTAATGACAAATGGCAGCCAAAGTGTTCAGTCTGACTTTTGGAGCCCTTTTTGCTTCCTTTCCCCAAACTATTTTTACCTTTTTTTTTTTTTTTTTTTTTTGAGACAGGGTTTCTCTGTATTGTTTTGGAGCCTATCCTGGAACTCACTCTGTAGACCAGGCTGGCCTCAAACTCAGAGATCTGCCTGCCTCTGCCTCCCAAGTGCTGGGATTAAAGGAGTGCACCACTAGTTTTACTTTTTAACAATATCAGTTCTTCCTTTACCTATTTGCTTCTTTGGGGACTGTAAAAATCACTTGGATTTAGACAGGAGTTTGGTTTATTTTCAGTCCCTTTTCCCTTTCCTTATTACCATGGAACCAGCAAGGAATGAAGGAATGTTCACTGCCGTCTCAAACCTTATAATACTCCCTGTAGATTTAGGACTAGTGTACTATCGTGTGTGTGTGTGTGTGTGTGTGTGCATGTTCATGTGTGGGTATGACCACACATCAACATGAGTCTTCCTTGGTTGCTCTCCATCTTTTTTGGGGGGCAGGTCTTTTTGGGGGGGTTTCTGAGACAGGGTTTCTCTGTATTGTTTTATAGGCTGTCCTGGAACTCACTCTGTAGACCAGGCTGGCCTCAAACTCACAGAGATCCACCTGCCTCTGCCTCCGGAGTGCTGGGATTAAAGGCATGCACCACCTACACCCAGCTTGGTCAGGTGGTTCTTGTTATTATTATTATTACTATTAGTCTCTAAAGTACAGTACTCTGGCTAGACTAGCTGGCCAGCAAGCCATAGGGATCTTCCTGCTTCCAACTCTTCAGTGTTGGAATTATAGGCACCCATGGTTGTGTGTGGCCACATCTGGCTTTTACATACATGCTGGGGATTGAATTTAAGTCCTTGTGCTAAGCAATTTCCCCAACTTCTGACCCAGAATTTCCTCTACCCCCAGACTCACAGTACAATAGGAGAGATGCTAAGGAACTTTCGGGAGGAGGTAAATTGTAGTCCATAGTCCATCTGCTCCCAATGTGTCAAAAGCCGAGCCTTTCCTTGGTCAGGGGTCTCAAAGGGTGTTCCTTTCACTGTATGTAGGAAGATATACATTGCCTGGGAAGAGGGAAAGGGACAGTATGAGGCTAGAAAGTAGTCCTTTGGGTCAAGAGTTCTGCTAAGATCCCAAAAGGAAGACATATTTGTTTTGGTTGGGATAAACCTGGGTTGGGTACAAGGGTGTGGTTTAGTGCTCACCAAGTTATGGATGACGTTGGTCAGGGTCCAGACAACAGGAATGCTGAAGAAAGGGATGCTGAGTAGAACCACATGCAGCAGTCCTACCAAGATGATGTAGGCCAGCCAGATGCCCCGGCTATTCATCACTCGAGTGTTGGGGTTTACTTCGCCGTGTGCCACCCCCACATTCATCCTACCACAATGAGGGGTCAGCAGCAGTCCAACTCAATTTCCTCTTAACCCCCGAAAAGCCAGATCCCCTAAACTCTAGGGAATGAAAGGATTTCTCTATCATGCAAAAAAAAAAAAAAGGAAAAACTGAAGACTTTGTTAAAACTCGAGAAGACGTGAAGCAGCTGGGTGTGGTGGCTCATGCTTGTCATCCTATACTTGGGAGGTTGAGACATGAGGACTGTCCTGGGCTAGAGTGAGATCATTTCTCCAAAACAAACAAAAAAGCAAGAGGGGCTTCAAAATGGCTAAGCTGGAGAAGGCATTTGCCACGGTGCTTAAAGACCTGAGTTGGATCCCCAGGACCCACACAGTGGAAGGGGACTCCTGCAAGCTGTCCTGACTCCCGCGCCTGCCTTGTTAGTGTGCATGCCCACACAAGTGGTTTGTTTTGTTTCTATGGGAAAAAAGCCTCCCTACTATAGAAACACGGTAAAGTTTTTACTCTGATCTTTACAGTTCAACTATAACATGAAGCAGTAAGCTTAGACTGTGACACTCACTTGAAGCACCAGGGGAATCGGGAGTATTTTTAATTTGCTTTCTTGAGGAAGTTATTGAATCATAGAGAGGTCACCCACACCCAGAGTTCCACAAGAAAGCTATGCAGTTAATAAGGAGGAATCGAGAGTCAAGCCACCTGTGGTCCTCACCTTTTATTGGGGCTTGTCTCTCCTGTCCCTCACCCTCATGGCCTGTCAACAGCCAGTTGCCTCAGCCCTTCTCTGGAGCGTGAGGCGCAGCAACAACTTAACCCAGTTTTTAAATTAGTCTAGGAAGGGACCTGAGCTTAGTCCCTCAAGAAATAGAGCCCTCTCCCTTCTAGGGGCGCTTCTGGCACTTAAATTTATGCTAACTCTAATGCCTATATATATATATATATATATATATATATATATTTTTTTTTTACCTGCTCTTGCCTTTCCCAAATTTCCCTAATCAAGTACCGAGTCCGCCCATGCTCCTCCCAGAGTCCCACTTTCGCACATCAGTTTACGTCTCTCTTCACGGGAACTCGAAGTCGCCGCCGCCCTTCCTTCCCAATATTCCCATCAGTTCCGCTCGGTAACCTTTTACAAGTTGCGCGCAGCCCCTACCTGCCAGCTTCAGAAGCCCGGACCGTCCGGCTTGGGGCACAGCGAGGGCTCTCACACCTGTGGTCTCCAGGAAGTGGCCGCCTTTCGCCCCGTCTGCGCTCTCCCTATTGGTGGGACGGACCGCGGCGTCCCCAGTCATTGGTTGGCTCTGCAGTGGGGCCGTGCAATTGGCCGCCCTTTCTAGCCTTAGGCTATGCAAACCCCGCCCTCTCCTGGGCCCACCCTTTCAGCGACCCTCGGAGAGGCGTGAGAGCGACGCCGCCAGTGACTAATGGGAAAGGCCGTTGGTGCGAGGTGGGAGTAAGGGTGATAGCGATTGGTTGGACGAGCCTGGCACCTAAGGCGGGGGCAGCGCCGGGGGTCTGGTAGAGTGAGGCGCAGCAAGATGGCGACCGAGACGGTGGAGCTCCACAAGCTGAAGGTACCGTGCGCGGGGAAGGCTGAGGCGGGGTCTTCTGGGGCCCGGGTTCCGCACGGGGTCCTGCGCCGCCCGCCACGTGTCTCTCTGTTAGGCGCTTACACTTCTTTCCCGGCCCGCGTTTAGTTCCGTGCCTCCCTCCCTCGGCCTACCTTAAGCCCCGTTTCTCCTCAGGATCTTGTTGCTCTCTTTCCCTGTTGCTTCTGCTCTGTTCTCCTTGTTTTATTATCCGTCACCCTTCCCCGCCCGGGCACGGAGCGCCTTGCGTCTTCATACTCCTTTCTCGTTAGGTCTGCATTACGTCAGTGGTCCTTCCCCCGTGGCCCATGCGGACCCAAAATTACGTTTTCTTCTCAGATTGATGTGTTCGCCTCTCGTCCCAAACCTGAGATTCCCCAGTTAGCACATAGTGGCAATTTTCATATGTTTACCTGACGTATTCCGAGCATAACCCAGAAAACGTCTCCAGTCTCGTTTAACAAGGTTGGGTTACGCCCCCGTACTCGAGTTTTGAAACCAAGGAGAGGCCTTACCATAGATTTACCGGTGGAAGCCTGGGGCCGAGGCAGCTCCAAGAGTTCGTAAAATGACGAACACTGTACCCCTAAAAGTTTTAAGTTTTCTCAGGAGCTTCTCAGCCCGCTGCCCCCCTCGAGACTGTTCTCCCACCCCTAAAGAGAACGTATAGCTCTAGTATTTTGGAAATGTATGAAGTATGTTTGAAAATCTTAGGATTTTACTTGTCCTGTTTATCATGGGAAGGACCCAGGGTCTCTTAGTGTTATTATTTTTTTTTAGATCTATTTTTGTTGTTTACGTGTATGTGTCCGTGTGAATGTGTGGTGCTTGCCTGAGGAGGTTAGAGAGGTGTGGGGTCTCCTGGAGCTGGACTTACAGGCAGTTGTAAGCAACCTGATGTGGTACTGGGTACAGAATTTGGGTCCTCTACAAGAGGAGTAAATGCTCATAACCGCTGAGCTGTCTCTTCAGCACTCCTTGGTGTCACTTCTTGGTGACCTTCTGAACCTCGGGACCTTTATTTTGAGTTGTAAATTGTGGTAGTCGTGTTACTTTCCTTATATATAGACTTTCATTTCGGTGATTACTCTGAAAGGACATAACTCTTTTTAGAAAGAATTAAGAAGCTATGTTGGTTATTGTTTGCATTTTCATAAGTAGCTTTGTCATTAGTTGTTTTGATTACATTATCCTGGGAACCTGGTACAAATCAAACTTACTTAGTAAAAACTAAGAACTGTTCTATTTATTGAGACAGGATCTCACTATGTAACTCTAGCTGGCCTGGATCTCAGAGATCCTACCTCAGCCTCCCAAGTGTTGAGATTAAAGGCGTTCACCATCAAGTCTGTTTTTGTTTGTTTTGTTTTTGTTCTTTTTTTGTTGCTGTTTTATTTTAATTGTTGGATTGAGATGATTTTTCAAGAAGATTTGTTTGTGTGTACAGTTTGTATGTCTGTGTGCCTGCAGAATTACAGTTGTTAGTCTCTCTGTGTGTGAACCTGGGTCCTCTGAAAGTGCAGTCAGTGCTCTCCAGCCCTGAAAACTTTTCTTTTTTTCTTAAAACTTGATATTGGGTCTGGAGAAATGGCATAGTGGTTAAGAAGAGTACTTGCTCTTCTGGAGGACCTGAGTTTGGTTTCCAGCGCCTAAATCAAGTGGCTCACAACCACCTGAACACTAGCTCCAAGGGATCTGATGCTTGTGTGTGTCACACACACAAACATTTTTAATCTTGAAGAACTGTTGAGTTTTCTTGTCTTTCTTTAAAAGGTGTAAGTGAAACATCTGTAGAAAAAGTCCCTGTAATTCAGTCTGTTCAGGTGGTATCACCTTTTGACAGCAAATAATGTTTCTTAACTCTAGGACTCTCAACCTCATTAGTGGATTTCTATGTTATTTTAGTTACTGTTAACTTGATGGTGCTGAAATGAATTATCAGTGGTTTCCTGATGATTACTTGAACAAATAAAAATTTAGCAACTACCTCCATTTTATTTACTTGTATAAGTTCTGTAGTTTTGTACTGCTATACATACTATAAAATATACACAGAAATTAATTTTTTAGGTGAAAGATTAAAAATTAGTGGGATATCTAATATTTTCTTGTTTGTTCCCCTTTTGAAGTCCTGGAGTAAGTCACTAGTTGCTCTATGACTTTCCTTTATGGATATTGTATTTGTTTAAGGAGTTCCTCCTTCCATCATATTCATATTTGTTAGTTCAATAAATATACATTTGATTGAATAAATTCCATCTAATGTCTTCTGACCTGATTTCAGGTACTGTCTAGTCATAAGAGCACCTGAGGCATTCTGAGGGCCTAAGTAGGACTTACTCTTTAATCACATTTGCTTGTCTTTGCTTTTTCTCTAGAGCACTTCTTAAACTTTTGGAGGTCACAGATATCTTTGAAACTCTGATGAAAGGTATGGACCCTCTCCCCAGAAAAGGGCATGTACAGTACTTTGCATGCGATTTAAGGGGCTCCATAAAATTACCTTGTTGCCCTGAGGAGTCCATAGACCTCTGGTTAAGAACCTATATAAATTCTGGCTTTGAAGACAATGTTAGGCTCTAATGTTGATCTTGATTGAATAGTCTGACTTTTTGGATTGACTTAAGAGTTTTTATTTTATTTCATTTATCCTTGAGACAGGGACTCACTATGTAGCTTTTGCTGGCCTGGAATTTGATACATAGAATAGCCTGGCCTCGATCTGCCTGCCTTCATCTCCCAGTGCTGGGTTTAAAGGTAGGTGTCGTGTTACCCAGCTGATTTAGAGTTTTTAATACCTCAAACAATCAAACAAACAAACAAAAACACCCAAACCACTTTCCACTGGTGGTGCACACCTTTAATCCCAGTACTTGGGAGGCAGAGGCAGGGAGATTTCTATGATTTTGAGGCCAGCCTGGTGTACAGAGGGAGTTCCAGGACAGCCAAGGCTAAACACAAAAAAACCCTGTCTTGAAAAATCAAAAAACAAAACAAACAAAACCACCAACTTTTTCCAAGCTGGGCACAGTGGTGCATGTCGCTAGTTCTAGCACTTGGGAATCAGAGGCATGTAGATCTCTGTGAGCTCCATGCCAGCTTGGTCTACAGAGTGAGTTCTAGGACAGCCAGAGTGACATGGAAAGACTCTGTCTCAAAAAAACCAAAGCTCTTTCCATTTTATTGTTATTATTATTATTATTTTGGTTTTTCAAGACAGGGTTTCTCTATTGCTTTGGAGCCTGTCCTGGAACTGTAGACCTGGTTGGACTTGAACTCAGAGATCTGCCTGCCTCTGCCTCCTGAGTGCTGGGATTAAAAGTGTTCACCACCAACACCTGGCCTTCTTTCAATTTTTATAAAGAGAAATTGGGACTTTAACTTTAGTTCAGAGGAAAGGACAAGCTTTAAAAGTGTGAAGGATAAAAACATCTTCATTGATATGTAAGTCCATACCAAGTGCAAATGTCTGAAAATTTTGTGGCAGTATAGTCATTCTGACTCAGTTGGAAACACTGAATTGTGGTTGAGAATATCTTGAACTGTAACAACCAGATTTATAACTAATCATGATAAAAGGAACTCTACAGTAGCGAGAACCAGAAGGTATGTAATAGTATAGTGCTGAGAACAGAGTAGTATGGTACTGAGAAGTATTGTGTTATTGAAACATGAAGTATGTAAACATTTTTGTTGCTAGTTTGGAAACTTAGTAAAACTGTGGTTATAAAAGTAAATTGGAGTGATTTTGAAAAGTTCTTGTTTTTTGTTTTTTAATCTTTGTGTGTTCCTTTGAATGGATGCAGGCATTTGTGTAAGTCGGAGGACAATCTCTAGTATCCAGTTTTATGTACCACCTTGTTTGAGACAGGATCTCCTCTTGTGCCGTCTGCCTATGCCAGGCAAGTTGGCCTCCCAGGTTTTGAGGATTCTTCTGTGTCTGCTTTCATCTCACTGTGGGAGTACTAGGGTTACATGCTACCTCAGCTGATTTTATGTAGGCTCTGGGAATCAAAACTCAGGTCTTGCTGAGCTCTCTTTACACCGTCTTCTCTTTGTTTAGGTTGAGATAGGGCTTCTCTCTAGCTCAGGCTAACCTTAGTCTCAAGGTGATCCTTAACTCAGACAAAAGACCCTTATTTGTTACTGCTCTGGCTGTCCGGGACCTCTCTCTGTAGACCAGGCTGGCCTTGAACTCACAGAAATCCACCTGTTTCTGTCTCCTGAGTGCTGGAATTAAAGGTGTGCTCCAACACATCCGGCCCAAAAGAGTCTTCTAAGTTGTATAAGCAGTTTGTGTTTGTGTGTGTGCATGTGTGTGTAAAACAGTCTTGCTATATATAGCCCATGTTTAGAATTCATGATTCCTCCTGCCTCCATTACCTCTCAGGTGTTGGGATTGTATGAGATGCAACTTGTTCAGTAGGAGGCAGGAGTCGTCTTAACTACTCAGTCATCTCTCTAGCCTAGAGCAGTTTTATTTCTTGTAGCTATAGGATACGTAGAGAATCTTTTGAAAATCTGAGAGGAAAAGCCTATGTGATCAGTTTGTGTTCTTTTGGCAGTGCTGAGGGTGGGCTCTAGAGGAGAGACTTGCCCAGTTAGGACTGTATTGTAAATAGTCTCTCCTTCCTAAGAGGGTCTTTTAATTATCCCTGCTAGACTCCTCATTCTAAACTATCACTCTGCAACTACCATGAATAAGTTATTTTTTCGAAATGACTTTGTTCTTTATTTGCTAACATACTTGCTATGTGGCAAGCACCTGTTGATAACATTTGTATATATTAGCTGATTTTATTCTCATAAAAACACTGTAAAGTAAAATGCCTCTATATCCTCATTTCAAAAGAAAAACTGAGGCTCTGAAATAGTAATTAATTTGCCCTAGTTCACTTACTACAGCTTGTCAATCCAAGCCATTTGTCTCCAAAATCCATATTAACTTTATTTAAAATTTTCAATTTGTATTTGTGTGTGTGTGTAAGTGGACTTGTATGTGCCATGGCATACACGTGGACATCAAAAGACAACGTTTGGGAGTTTTTTCTCTCTTCCATAGTGAGATCAATGGGTAGAACTCAGGTCATTGGGCTGGCATGTCAGGTGAGCACTTTTTACTTATTGAGCCAGAAGAGGGTGTAGAAGGGGTAGAAGAGACCAGCTGTGACCTTCTGTGTGAGTGCTGGGACTCAAGCCTGGTCCTCTCGAAGAGCCAATAGTGCTCTTAACCACTGAGTCATGTCTTTAGCCCTTGCATTCTTTTTTTTTTTTTAAAGACCATTTTTTTTTTTTTTTTGGTTTTTCGAGACAGGGTTTCTCTGTGGCTTTGGAGGCTGTCCTGGAACTAGCTCTTGTAGACCAGGCTGGCCTCAAACTCACAGAGATCCGCCTGCCTCTGCCTCCCGAGTGCTGGGATTAAAGGCGTGCACCAACGCCCGGCTTTAAAGACCAATTTTAAGTTACATTATTTGTGTGTGTGTGTGTGTGTGTGTGTGTGTGTGTGTGTGTGTGTGTGTGTTAGGGTGGATTGTGCCATGTTAAAAGAAAATTGTCGGGATTCTCTTTCCACTATGTAGGTACTTGGGCACTCAGATCATCAGGCTACTTTGTAAACACCTTTAATCCCCGCACTTGGGAAGCCCAGGCAGGTGAATCTCTATAAGTTTGTGTGGTCAGCCTGGCTGGTCTGCATAGAGAGTTCCAGAACAACCAGGGCTATGCAGAGAGACATGAAGTCTCAATAAAAGAGACCAAATAAAAAAGAGGGTCAAGCTAGGCTGTGGTGGCTCACGCCTTTAATTCCAGCCTTCGGGAGGCAGAGGCAGGTGAGTCTCTTGAGTTTGAGGCCAGCCTGGTCTACAGAGTGAATTCCAGGACATCTAGGGCTGTTACACAGAGAAATTCTGTCTTGAAGAAATAAAAAACCAGAGCCTTGCTATGTAACCTAGGCTGACTTGGAACTCTGTGTTGTTCAGGCTGGACTTAAACTCATGGTCTTCCCGCCTCTGCCTATGAGTGCTGGAATTATAAGCATGAGCCACTATGCTTGGTTTATTAGTTTAACTTTTTATAGTTGTCATATAGGATTGGCTCTGGTATTCCCATCTTATAAGTAAGGAAATTGAGAAGCATAGGGACTATAAATTACTTTCCAATAATGTGTAGATGTAGGTGGTATAAGTAGAATTTAAACCTAGCTGTTTTTAGTGTGGCCTCATTGTTGAGATTGAGCTCCATCTGTCTTGTATGTATGTATGTGTATGTGAGTGTGTATTCATACATGCAACGGCCCAAGACTGGCTTTAGATGTTTTTCTCAATGACTTTTTACCTATTATGAGGATCCCCAGAGTAAGCTAGCAGCTTGTTCTTTGGCTAGCCAAAATGGCAAGTTCTGAGCTCAAGTGAGAGATCCTGCCTTAATCTATAAGGTGAAAGTAACTGAGGAGAGCATCTAAAGCTGTAAACTGTCAGCCCAGATTACATAGTACAGTGGCAGAAAGGAGAAACTGCCTCAAATAAGGTGGAAGTTATAGACTGACACTCATGGTTGTCCTCTGATCTCTACACAAGAACATGAACACAAACATAAGTATTTTTTTTAAACAGATGTTTTTTTTAAAGGATTTTATTTATTATGTATGCAAAGTTCTGCCTGTGTGTATGCCTGCAGGCCAGCAGAGGATACCAGATCTCATAACAGATGGTTGTGAGCCACCATGTGGTTGCTGGGAATTGAACTCAGGTCCTCTGGAAGAACAGCCAGTGCTCTTAACCTTTGAGCCATCTCTTCAGCCCTGAACATAAGTATTTTAAAGAGTGTATATCCGAGGCAGGCGGATCTCTGTGAGTTCAAGACCAGTCTGGTCTACAAGAGCTAGTTCCAGGACAACCTCCAAAGCCACAGAAAGACCCTGTCTTGAACCCCCCCAAAAAAGAGTGTATATTTATCCCAGGAAAGCTATTACAAAGTTTATCAAAGATCTATAATTTCAGCTATGAAAAATCTATACTTATTTTTGGTGGTTAACTTCTTTTCCTAAAATCCTAATGTGCTTATCTTTTTGCTTGTTCTTAATATTTATTTTTATGTGTATGAGTGGTTTGCCTGCATGTATGTACACCATGTTTGTGCAGTGCCCTTGGGGGCCAGAAGAGGGAGGTGGGTCCCCTGGAGCTGGAGTTAGAGATGGTTGTGAGCCAGGTGGTTGCTGGGAACTGAACCCAAGTCCTCTGCAAGAACAGTGAGCTTTTTTTACTGCTGAGCCATTTCTTCAGCCCCAACAGAGTGTTTTGGTTTTTCCAGACAGGGTTTTTCTGTGTCGATTTGGAGCCTATCCTGGCATTTGCTCTGTAGACCAGGCTAGCCTTGAACTCACAGAGATCTGCCTGCCTCTGCCTCCCAAGTGCTGAGATTAAAGACATGTGCCACCAACGCCTGGCATTGCTTTTTGTTTTTTGAGAGGGTTCCACTATGTCACCCTGACTGGCCTGGAACTCTGTGTAGACCTGGTTGGCCTTGAGCTCACAGAGATCCAGTTGTCTCTGTTTCCTGAGTGTTGGAATTAAAGGCATTTGCCATTACACTTGACTGTCTTTATTTTTTTCTATCTGTGTGTGTGTGTGTGTGTGTGTGTGTGTGTGTGTGTGTGTGTGTGTGTGTTCATGGACTATGTGGAGCACATGTGGAGGTTAGAGGACCCTCTGCCATGTGGTCTCAGGGGTGGAACTCAGTTCACCAAACTTGGCAGCAAGTGTCTTTACCTGTTGGACCATCTATCCAGTCCTCAACTAGTTTCTGTATGATTGAAGATTTGAATCTTAATAGAGAATTTCACACATATACCTACCTATTTTTACTTTTTGAGTTAGGGTTTCATATAATTCCGGCTGGTCTTAAACTCACTTTTTAGCTGAGCATACCTTGACATTTTGTGATTTTCAGCTTCTATCCTGAGTCCTGAGATTACAGGCTCCTCTAGCTCACTCTGTCTCGTTATACATGTGGCACTGGAGATCAATTCCAGGACCTCATACATAGCAAGTAGTCACTTCTATTGAGTTATACCCCTCTCTTTAAATTTAAAAATATTTCTCTTATTTTTTGAGAATATAATTATATAGTTTACTCTCTCCTTTATCTCCCTCCAGACTCTGTTTTTCAAATTCATGATTCCTTTTTTTCATTATTACACGTGTATGACTTTCTCTCTATGTACACATACCTAAATACGTAAGTGCAACCTACTCAGTCTGTATAATGTTACTTCTTTGTATGTTCTCAGGGTTGACCATTGGTATTGATAATCAGTTGTTATGCTCTTTTCTGGGGAAGACTGTTTCTCCCACTCTCAGCATTCCTTAGTCGCCTGTAGTTGTTTGTGTGGTATTGAGGTTCCTAGACTTGCCCCTGCCTCCATGTCAGTGTGCTTATTGTTGCCTTTGTGCAGCTCTTGTCAGGCAGTCTTGTTAACTCTGAGTGCAGCTTCTGACATTCCTAGGAGACATCATCTCACAGCAAACTTAAAACATTTTAGAGTTATGCATCTGTGTGTGGGCATTGCACATGTGATGCAGGTGGCAAAGGAGGTCCAAAGAGGAAAGAAGAGGTTGTTAAAGTCCCTGTAGCTGGAGTTACAGGTAATTTTGAGACTTCTGATGTGGGTGTCTGCTCTATTAGTTTTGTCAGTTACCCAATACTATTCCTTCTAAAATCTGTAAAATTGGTAAGTATATATTTTTACTGATTTAAAAAGTGTGAATTTCCTTCTTGGTGATATAGATCCTTTAGTTGGTTCATTGTTGACATTAAGCCAGCTAATACATCAATCTAATTCTACAATCTATTTTTATAGATGTGTGAGTTTATAATAACACTTTTGGGATAATAGGTGTTTATTAGTCAGTTTTCTACCATTATGACAAAATACTGAGGCTGTACTTTATAAAGAACAGAGATTTATTTCCCAACTTTGGAGACCAAAAGTCTCAATAGCATAGTGTTGCCCTGGTAACAGGCTCATAGTAAATGACATGATGGTGGCAGCAATTTTGAGGATCGATTATGTGGCAGGATCAGAAGCTGGAGGTTAGGGAGAGTTCAGGACAGGGTCTCATGTAATGAGTCCAAGCTGACCTGCGTTGGTGCTGAACTCCTGGTCTTCCTGCCTCTACTTCCTGAGTGCTGGATTACAGGCCCATACCTGGCCACTTTTACTCTTTTCTGTGAACCCACTGTTTGGAGAAGTAACCAAAAGAACTATATTAGTTCTTTGCTAAGATGAAGTATCCCCTTTGATATCCTAAACACTTCCCAATAAACTCCACATTTTTGGGGGGTGGGGGGGATGGGTGTTTTTGCTGGCCTTATTCTTGATCCTCCTGCTACTAGGTCAGGCTGCTCTACCTTTTTGTTGTTGTTTTGGTTTTTCGACACAGGGTTTCTCTGTGTAGCTTTGTTGATCATAGAGATCCGCCTTTAGGACACTAGATTTTCTGGGTTTTCTGATTGAAGATTGACACCCCCCCATGCTATTGGCAGAGTAATCTTTTAGAACTGTTTCCCTTAGTTATTAAAAAAACAATTGCACAAATAGATTACAATTTTACTTAAGTGTAATTTTTTTCAATGTATGTTAGAAAGTCCTATTGTATATTGAATGTTAAAGGAAACATAAGCTACTTTTGTGGATTCAGCGTCTTGGTCAGGGATAGTACTTTCAAGTTGGGAATTGACCGTCATCATCATCATCATCATTTTCTCTTTTGTGAGAACCACCTCTTTTCATTCATAGGAATTAAAAAAGTTGTTTGTTTGTTTGTTCTTTTCCCAGCTTGCTGAACTAAAGCAAGAATGTCTTGCTCGTGGTTTAGAGACCAAGGGAATAAAACAGGATCTTATCAATAGGCTCCAGGCGTATCTTGAAGAACATGGTGAGTACTTTGTGGAGGGAACATGAAATAAGTGAAGCAATAAGTTTCAAGCTCTGACACTTAAAAGATTTCTTCCTTTCTTAGGTCATTGGTGATGTAAGGTCTAAATTAACAACATCAAGAAAACTTTTAGAGATGGCCATGGTGGCTCATGCCTCTAATCCTTGCACTTGGGAGGCAGAGGCAGGAGGATCGCCTCAAGTTCAAGGCCAATCTGATTTACAAAGTAAGAGTCTGTCTCAAAAAAAAAAAAATCTAACAAAGAGTACTATTGGCTGAGCTGGATGTGGTAGTACATGTCTGTAATTCAGTACCCCATAGGCGGAGGTCTGAGACTAAGGAGATTGAGGCCAGCCCAGGCTACAGAGTGAGACTCTGTCTCAACAAAACAAAACAAAAATATGTGTGTATATTAAAACATTTTTATTTGTTTTATACTAAAGAGATAGGATCTTGTCGTGTTGTCTCTTGGCTGTGATTATTTTTACCATGTTATTTAAAATTAGCATGGAGAGGGCTAGAAAGATGGTCAGTGGTTTAGAACATTTGTTGCTCTTGCAGAGGACTTGGATTCAATTCCCAGCACCTACATGGTGACTTACAACTATCTGTAACTCCAGTTCTAGGGGATCTGATGTCCTCTTCTGAAGCACATGATGTATATACATAATATGCAGGCAAAATACTCATATATCTAAAAAATAAAATAAGTAATATTTAAAAAATTAGCCAGTTCTGTAATCCCAGCTGCTTGTGAGGTTGAGGCAAGAGAATCAGAGTTTGAGGGCCAATCGAACAACTTGGTGAGGCTATACCTTAAAAAAAATATAAAAATTCACATATGCATATATACATATACACATACATGCATACATACGTATAATGCTATCACTAGTTTAAGAGTTTGAAGGTGTTGGGTGGTGGTGGCACATACATTTAATCCCAGCACTTGGGAGGCAGAAGCAGGTGGATCTCAGTGAGTTCAAGGCCAACCTGGTCTACAAAGTGAGGTCCAGGACTGTTACACAGAGAAACCCTGTCTTGAAAAAACAAAAAACAAAAAACAAAAAAGAGTTTGAAGGCTTTAATTTTAGTCTATCTTGTGCAAAAGTTCACTAAGTATGTTTGAACAGTCACTTTACATAGCTAAGTGTTTATCTTTTACAGTATCAAAGACAAGTGTCTGGACCCTTGAAATCCTTAAACTAGATAATCTCTGGTTTCTCCTAGACCTCATATCCCCCAATTCTACCTTGAAAATATAAAATAGTATTCCTCTCACATAAGATGTGTATTATCATCCCAGTTTGTATACATCTTTCTGAATTTTATTTATTCTCTTTTATTCTCACTCCTCATTTCACTTCCTCTTGAGTCATACATTCTTATGTTTATGTATCTGATATATTCGAGATACTTTTAGGGGCTGGAGAGATGGCTAAGTGGATAAGGACATTTGCTGTGCAAGCATGAGGACCTGGCTTTCTGCCACCAGACTAGCTCCAGGTTCAATAAGATACCCATCTCAAAGGAATAAGGTGGGGAGCAACCAAGCAGAACACCTTATGGCCTCCGTGTGTGTGCATGTATACACACAGTACAAACACATTGGTAATGAGTTCATAGCCTTTATGTCTCATTTTTTCTCTATTTTTATTTTTTTAAGTTGTACATATGAGGAGATCTGGGAAGATGGTCTAGTGGGTAAGGGCTCTTGCTGCATAAGCAGGTGTCCATGCAGGTTTCTAACCTCAGCCCTGGGGAGTAGCAGCGGGCAGATCCTGGGAGCTTTATGGCTGGAGAACTCCAGGTTCAGTGAGAGACCCTGTCTCAAGGGTACGAAACAGACCATGTTAGACCACACATATATAGGTGTACTTACCTGCATTCATACTCACACACATACACAGAAACAAACTAAAACTTGTGTCTGTGGCGTGAGGTTTGTGGTTATTTGCTTTATTCATTCCATTTCTAGAGTGGAATTCTGTGATATATAGGCACTGCATTAAAATTTTATTATATTTATGTGTGTGTATGTGTTTGTGTATATGTTCACATGCCATGGTGCACATCTCAAAGTGACATGACAATTTGCAGGGTCAGTTCTCTTCTATCACGTGGACCCTAAGGGTTGACTTCATGTTACCAAGCTTGGTAGCAAACATCTGAGCCATCTCACCAGCCAAGTCACCACATTTTTTTGTTCCATTCCTTGATAGTAGTCACCTATATTTCCTCTAAGCCTTAGGGGATTTAATGCCATTAGTATGTAATCATATATAGTATTGTATATTACATATTAATACATTGTTAGGATGTAATATTGTCTTATGAACTACTTTTCTCTGTGTGTCTGTGAGATTATATAGTCTATATCCAGATTAGAATTATAATGATTATATATCCACAAATGTATAAACACTTAGTATGATTTAGCACTGCCAAGTTGCTTCATAAAATTGCCTTATAAATCTATATTCTTCATTAGGATATCAGGGTTTTGAGACAGTTTCTCTGTGTAACAACCCTAAATGTCCTGGACCTAGCTCTATAGACCAGGCTGGCCTTGAACTCACAGAAATCCACCTGCCTCTGCCTCCCAAGTGCTGGGATTAAAGGTGAGCAACACCATGCTTGACCAGGGTTCCTTTCTTCTCTCTCTCTCTCTCTTTTTTTCCTTTATTCAAGACAGGGTTTTTCTAGATAGCTTTGGTGTGGGGTTCTTTTCTTTAAAAAATAAAAATATGTATTTTAAAATACATATGTAGAGGAGCCAAGTTCAATTCCAAGCACCCATATGACAGTTCACAACCATTTAGAATTCTAGTCCTGAGGGACGATTGCCCCTTTCTGGCCCCCGAGGGCACTACACATATGTACAAACATACATGCTGGTAAAACACTCATATGCTTTAAAAAGATTAAGAGGATTAAAAGAAAAATGTATTTTTATTTCATTTGTGTGGGTGTGTGCCTGTATGCATTTATGTACCATGTGTGTACCTAGTGCCTGAGGAGGCCAGAAGAGGTTGTTGGATCTGCTAGAACTGGAGTTAAAATAAAGATGGATGGTTGTGAGTGTATGAGTGGCGGGAACCAAACCCAGGTCCTCTGGAAGTGCTCTTAACCATTAAGCCATCTCTTTAGCCCACTCAGGGTTCTTTTATTTACACAAACCTGTATTTGGCATTATCCTATCAAGTGGCCTAGTTTTGCTAATTTGTTGGTCTTAAGATACTTTTCTCCATGAAGAAAGTTCAAATGTTTCTGTTTAAACTGTCTTTGTTTCTGATTCTGTGGGTTTGTTTTTGCCCACAAGTGCTTGAATTACAGGCATGGGGCTACCTTGTTGGTTTTAAACACAAATATCTTTGTCATTGGTCTTTTATGTTTTTTCCCCTTGGTGTTCTTTAGTAGAAGTATGTAGTTTTGAAAATAATTTTTTCACCTTTTGGTGTGGGGTGTGTGTGTGTGTGAGAGAGAGAGAGAGAGTGAGTTACAGAATAATAAAGAAAATGAAACATCTTTGAAAGTGGTGGACGGCTCTGCTTGGCTCCCCAGGAGGTCTGGGATTACAAGGGTCTTCCAACATCATACTTGAATTTTTATGTGAATTCTGGGAATTGAACTGAGTTATTTTTACACACACACTTTTTTTGTTGCTTTTTTGTTTTTGTTTTGTTCTTTTGTTTTTTCAAGACAGGGTTTCTCTGTGGCTTTTGAGGGTGTCCTGGAACTCAGGGTATTATATAGCCCAAACTGGTCTCAGTAGCTGCAAATGGCTTTGAGTTTACTGATTGTGTTGCCTCCGTCTTCCAAATGCTGGGATTACAGGGCATATACCACCATACCCTGTCCTAATTAGTTTTTAAACTAATTTTATAGTGTAACTTAAGTACAACCTAATTGAATTTAGCTATTCAGTTCAGATGGAATTCAGTTTTATACAAACATTTAATAGAGATCTGGTTTTATCTTCTAAATGTGACTTATTTCGTAAGGATTGGTTCTGCTATCATTGTTGAATATAATATTGGGAAAGCAAAGAGGTTGCAGTTTTACTCTTATCACAGTGATCAAGATGGTTTTAAAGCAGGGCTTGACCTGAATATTTTAATATTCTTTAGCTGAAGAGGAAGCAAATGAAGAAGATGTACTGGGAGATGAAACCGAGGTGAGTTGGGAAAGGTTAGTCACTGGCTTGATAATGTGCCATTGGAGTTCTTAGTTGTCTCTTGATGGATATTCCTGTATTTTCCTGATAAAATGTAATTAATGTTTTTGAGCTAGCGTCTCATAGTCCCGGCTGGTCTCAGATTCACTGTGTAGCTGAGGATAACCTGAACTTCTGTTTCTTTCTATTCCTGCCTCTTGAGTGCTTCCATGCCCAATTTATCTTTTTTAAAAAATGGATATTTTCGTTGTTGTTGTTGTTGTTTTGTTTGCTTTTTGTTTTTTCAGACAGGGTTTCTCTGTGTAGCCTTGACTATCCTGGAATTTGTTTTGTAGATTAGGCTGGCCTTCAACTCACAGAGATCCATCTGCCTCAGCTTCCTGAGTGCTGGGATTACAGGTGTGTGTTACCACCGTTTATCTTAAAGTTAATTGTTATTGTTTCTTCACAAGATCTTAATGTGTAGTCCAGGCTGACCTGGTACTCACAGAAATCCTCCTGCTTCTGCCTCCCAAGTGCTGGCTCTTAATGGATATGCTTGATTTATGTTAACCATGTTTCATTTTGTTTTTAGGAAGAAGAACCAAAGCCCATAGAACTTCCTGTTAAAGAGGAAGAACCTCCTGAAAAAGCTGTTGATGTGTAATTATTCCTTTTTAATAATCTAGTTTTTCCTTTTCTTTTTTTTTCCGGGGATGTGGGGGGGCATGCAAGAGACAGGGTTTCTCTGTGCAACAGTCCTTACTGTTTTGGAACTCTCTTTGTAGATCAGGATCAGAGATCCACCTGCCTCTGCCTCCCAGGTGCTGGGACTAAAGGCGTGTACCATCACACCCAGCCCCCCCTTTTTTTTTTTTTTTTTTGGTTTTTTCGAGACAGGGTTTCTTTGCATTGTTTTGGAGGCTGTCCTGGAACTCGCTCGGTAGACCAGGGTGACACCCAGCCCTTTTTAATAATTAAATAAGAGCAGATAGTTTTATTTTTGAGTGTGCTAGTGTGAAATATATATGTGGAAGATGATGTCAAGTGTCTTCCCTAATCACTCTCCACCTTAGTTTTCTTTCTTTCTTTCTTTTTTTTTTTGTTTTTTGAAGGCAGGGTCTTACTATGTAGCCCTTGAACTCACAGAGATCTGCTATCCTCTGTCTCCTGACTACAGGCGTGTGTCCAACTCCACCTAATCTTTGAGACCTGGTCTCTTACTGGTATAGAGCTCACCCATTTGAGTAGAGTGACGGGCTGGTGAGCCCCTGCCTTTACCTCCTAGTGCTGAGCTTTTAGGCACCAGCTCCACACCTGTCTTTTTCACAGGGAAACTGGAGCTTGAACTCAGTCCCTTGGGGTTGATCGTATGGCAGCATTTACCAATTAAACACTTAGACTTCCAGGTAGTACTTTTAAAAAAAAATACTGCTTTAAAGCTTCATTCTGTTTATTTGTTACACATTCCCTTGACCTTTTCATTTCTGATAAAGTCAGACATTTCTAGAAAGGTCTGCCTGCTTTAGGTATGTCTCCAGTGAAGAAAATGGGTTTTTCCTCTGTAACTAGAACCAGGTTAGCTTCAATACAGTCAGTTCTGTTCTAGCCTTTTTTCCTTTGTGAGTCACTGTAATGGATTATTTGATTAGAATCCATGATTTCCTGTGCAGTATAAATTTCTATAAAACCTTTTAGTTAGTACCACCCTCTGCCTCTAGAGAGCTGGGATTAAAGGCATGCTCTACCATGTCCAGTCCTGTAAAACCTTATTCATAGAATTTTATACTTTTACAGAAAACTCTGCTTTTGTAGAAAAGTGTGAAACTGTGTATAAGGAGTTTTATAAGAGGGAGAGATTGGCAGAAGCTCTATCTCATGTAAGTTTACTCTCTCTGATTTATTATTTACAGTGGAGGAAAAGAAGATAGAATAGAAAGTAGAAGAAGAAAGTAGGTTTTGGCCAGGTGTTGGTGGTGCACGCCTTTAATGCCAGCACTCCGGAGGCAGAGACAGGTGGATCTCTGTGAGTTTGAGACCAACCTGGTCTACAAGAGCTAGCTAGTTCCAGGACATCCTCAAAAACCACAAAGAAACTCTGTCTCGAAAAACCAAAAGAAAAAAAAAAGTAGGTTTTGGTGGGTGGTGGCAGTGCACGCCTTTAATCCCAGCACTTGGGAGGCAGAGGCAGGCGAAGCTCTGTGATTTTGTGTCTAGCCTGTTCTACAAACCAAGTTCCAGGACAGCTAGGGCTGTTAACACAGAGAAAACCATCTTCAAAAACCAAACAGAAAAAAGGAGGAGTAGATTTTTGTTTGTTTAAATTTTCCTACAAGGTTAATCATAAACATTTTATTGGGGACTTTTTTCACAAATTTTTAGCCATTTTGCACTTTGGAACATTAGGCATGATTGGTGTCATTTATTTTGAGACTGGGTCTTCTATTTAGCTTAGCAAGGCGTAGAACTCATAGTCATCCTGCCCTGCCTCTTGAGTGCTGGTATTATAGGTGTGTACCAATAACGTTGTTAAGTGCATCTCATTATAAAAGGCAGTGTATGAACCTGGGTAAAGCATTTGAAGACACTTGTGTCCCACGTGTATATGTATATGCTCATCAAAAAGTGACTTCAGCTGAGGAGTTCAGTAATCAAGAAGGTAGGATGACCCATTCTATGGACAGTCAGCTTGTTTCCTCAGCCATTCCTGTCATTGCCCAATGGGTCCATGAACACAGTGGCTATGATGGCAGAGATGAGGTTTGTGCGTGGGCTCAACAGCATGCACTTCCACTCACCAAGGCTATCGTGACTACAGCTGCTGCTGATTGCCAGATTTTTCAAAGGCAGGGACCAACGCTGAGTCCCAGATATGGTACCCATTTCTTGGGGTGATCAGCCAGCAACCTGGTGGCAGGTTGACTACATTGGACCACTTCCTCTGTGGAAAGGACAGTGTTTTGTCCTTACTGGAGTAGATACTTATTCTGGTTATGGACTTGCTTTTCCTGCATGTAATGAAGCCAAAACCACCATCCATAGACTTACAGAATGCTTTATCCACTGACATGGTATCTCGAACAGTATTGGTTTCTGACCAGGGAACTCACTTCATAGTCAGAGAAGTGCCATAGTGGGCCCATAACCATGGAATCCATTGGTCACCATGTTCCTCACCGCTCTGAAGCAGCTGGCCTGACACAAACATGGATTGGCCTTTTACAGTGCCAATTAGGTGGAGGGCTGGGGTAGGGTTCTCCAGAAGGCAGTATGTGCTTTGAATCAATGTCCAATATATGATACTGTTTCTCCTGTAGTCAGGATCCATGGGTCCAGGAATCAAGGGGTGGAAAAGGGAGTAAGTTCTACTCCCTACCACCCCTATTGACCCACTAGGAATGTTTTTGCTTTCTGTTCCCACAACCTTAAATTCTGCTGGTCTAGAAGTCTTGGTTCCAGAGGTAGGAGTGCTCCTGTCAGGAGCCACAGCAAGCATTCAATTGAACTGGAAGTTCATTCCTGGTCACTTTGGGCTTCTAATGCCCTTTAACCAACAGACTAAGAGAGGAATAGTAGTGTTAGAAGGATAGATCTAGATTACCATGGGGAAATTGGATTGCCTCTCCACAGTGGAGGTAAGAAGAATTATGTCTGGAGTGTAGGAGATCCTTTAGGGCGTCTTTTGGTGCTACCATACCCTGTGATTCAAGTTCATGAGAAGCTACAACAGTCTAATTCACGCAGGATGACAAAGGACACAGACCCCCCCCCCCCAGGAATGAAGGTGTGGGTCTCTCCTGCAGGAAAAGAGTCAGGACCTACTGAGGTGCTTGCAGAGGGTGGAGGAAATTCAGAATGGGTAGTAGATGGTAGTTATAAATACTAGCTAAGGCTGTTCTGTTGTATTTTGTTAAGAGTGCATTTGCGTAGATATTTGTGGTTATCATATTTAAGTTTGAGATACTAAAAGGATGTTCCCTCAAGGAACATTGCTACCAGTTCTAAATTTATAATGTGTTTGCAATTGTACATGGGACAGATATATTATGTTTAGGTGTTATTATGACCTGTGTATTTTCATTTAGAAATTAATCATGATATAGGGAGATATGATTGTGTCAAGTTGACAAGGAGTGTATTGTGATAGTGTAGGAGTGAACCCCACTTCTGGTACCATTTTGTTATGGGAAACCTTTTCCTTGAGAGAATGCCTCCCACCAGCCTGGTTCTCGATCCGCATCAGTCCCAAATAAACACACAGAAGGCTATATTAATTATGAAGCTGTTGGCCTTACTCATTTCTTACTGGCTAGCTCTGACTTAAGTATTTACCCCATAATTGTTAATCTAAGTATTTCTCTTACCGGAGAATAGTTCCGGGCTTCCTACCCCATGGCGGTTACATGTCGAACTCCTGTGTTTCTCCTTCCCAGAGTTCTCCTGGACTCCTAGTCCCTCCCATCTAGATTCCCTATAGGCCAGACAGTGCTTTATTGACATAAGACTTCCCCAACAGATAGTTATTCTTGGTTGTCAACTTGACTATATCTGGAATGAGCTATAATTCAGAAATGGAGGGCACACCTGTGATCTGGATCTTAAGATTGGAAGTCATAGGCTTTTGATCCTGATGTTGAGGTGAGGAGACACACCTTTAATCTAGGCCACACCTCCTGCTGAAAGGGAAGGATTCATTTGTTCTTCGCCTACATGTCCTCACCTTGTCAGCACATCCATTCCTTTTCTGGCATTGGAGCCTTCTTGTTTTGGATTCCAGCATGTACAGAAGCCCAGCTGAGGAGACATCCCGCCTCGTGGGACTGAGCAACTACTAGATTCTTTTTTTTTTTTTTTTTTTTTTTTTTTGGCTTTTACGAGACAGGGTTTCTCTGTATTATTTTGCAGGCTGTCGGTCCAGCCTAGCCTTGAACTCACAGAGATCCGCCTGCCTCTGCCTCCCGAGTGCTGGGATTAAAGGCGTGCACCACTAACACCCGGCACAACTACTAGATTCTTGGACTTTCTGTTCATAGCTAGTCACTGTTGGATAGTTGAACTGCAGCCTGTAAGTCATTCCAATAAATTCCATATATATATGTGTGTGTGTGTGTGTGTGTGTGTGTGTGTGTATTTGTATATATACACACATACATATATACCTGTGTGTGTGAGAGAGAGAGATTGATTGATTGATTTTTCATCCTGTGAATTATGTGACTCACACCCCTGACGTTAGGGGAATATTTTTTGTATGTGACTAGATAAATTAGCCAGTGAAGAATGGAAATCTCCCTTGAGTACTTTGATGTTATGTATATTTATTGCCCGAGTTTATTGTGTCCAAAGGAATTGGTATTTAATATGAGGAAGTTTGCTCTTGGGTTCCCTTTCTGCTTTGAGGTCTACTGTGATGATTGTTTTTCATTGTGAACATGGAGCCTGAGATTGTGGGTGAGTTATAGAGAGTTTGCCTAGTATGTACAGAGCCCTGGTTCAACCCCCAGCAATTCGTAAACTAGATGCAGTGTTCTGTGTTTATAATACCAGCATGAGAGAGGTCAATGTCATCCTCTGGTACTGGAGATATTGTCTCAAAAACAACAAAAAACAAACCAAATGAGAAGGTGGAAGCCATTATCCAAAGTTGATGGAGAAGACTGTCTTTGCCTTCCTCTGTCTCCTGCTCCTTGGGATTTAAAAGGTGTGTGCCACCATACTTGGCCTCTCTGTCTTAATTAGGAAATGGTCACAGAAGTTTATGTTTTACCAGAAGTCTAATTTCATTACAATAACAGTCTTGTTGGGCCTAGTGGTCTGTGCCTTTGTTGTTGTTGTTGTTTTGTTTTGTTTTGTTTTTTTTTGTTTGTTTGTTTTTTTGACAGGGTCTCCATAGACCTGGCTGCCCTGGAATTTGATATATAAACCAATCTGACCTTGAATTCATAGAGATCCTCTTCCTCTTGCTTCTGCCTCTTAAACGCAGGATTTAAACATGTGTGTGACCATGTCTGCCTGTGGCCATGCTTTTAATCTCAACACTGGCAGGCAGATCAAGACCATCCAAGTCTATACAGAAAATCACAGGCCAGCCAGGGTTACAAGATGAGGCCCTGTCTTAAAAAGAGAAGTAGGGGAGTGTGTAGTGTAATCTGTAATCTCTACACTAGAGAGGTGGAGGCAAGGGGATTAGGAGTTTGAAAAGTCCCATCTCAGACAGCAGCAATGAGAAATGGAGTGTTGGTGAGATTTCTTTAACAGCCTGAATATTCCTGGACTGATTTGAATCCGTTATATATCCAAAAGGAAATCTCTTTACATCATCTTTGGTCTGAAGTTATGTGTAAATACAGTTCTATTTCTAGTTTTAAGGGCTTTTTTTTTTTTTCTTTGAGAGTCAAGAAAGTTGAATACTGTAGGACTTAGTTATGGTCAGCAGGGGGCATCCGTTGCTTTCCTGTTGGTCTGAGGACCTCCAACAAAAGAATGGAGGACAGAGTCAGGTCCTGTTCCAGAATTGCTTCCTCTGAAAATGTCATTAAACCATTACTACCTTTCAGGGCATCAAATGGGAAAAGTGTTTGGTATATTGGAACAAAAGCTGCCCATGTCTCTAAATAAGGGACCTTAATGAGACTGGTTATGACCCATGGTTTTATGGGAGTTGTTTGCTAGAGAGTTAATGCCCTTCCATTTATCCTGGGGACTTCCGAACTTTGTCTCCTGCCCCTGTGGTCCCCTTCTTTTGTTTTCTCTTAAACCTTTTGACCAGTAACTCACCATGTTTTCCTAATTCAACACCCCATCTCCTTGGCCTTTTTTCTTCCCACTTCCTGTGGCATTTTTATTTGTTCTGCTTTGACTGTTTTAGCTAGGACTAAAATCCCACGGGAGCAATAGGCACTTACAAAAGAAGGAAACCAGGGCTTGTACATCGCTGGCTAAATATTGTGATGAAAGTTGAGAGCATCTATTTAATTAAAGGTTGGAGAAAGAGTGTTTAGTTCAAAAGTAACTGTGAAGTTCTTAAAAGCAAATGGAATGATTTAGTCCCTTTAACCCAGTACGTTTAGCCTGATTTCTTTGATGGTTACTTTCTTAAGCCTTAAAGTAGCTTAGTTTTCTTTTAATTTTTTCCTCTCAGTAGATGACAGTTCAAGGAACCAGGGTTCTTGTGGACTTAATATTTCTTTAGATTACGGGTGGTAGACACATATGGAGCAGAGGACACAACTCAGGTGAATTCTTGCACATTTCTAAGGTTTTGGTTTAAAATAGCAGTTTTCTGATTTTTAAAGATCTGTCTTCAGCTGGGCAGTGGTGATGCGTGCCTTTAATACCAGCACTCAGGAGTCAGAGGCAGAGCTACACAGAGAAACCCTTACTGGAAAAACAAAAACAAACAAAAAATCTGTCTTTTCCAGGGCATCAGAAAAGAAGGTGGTAAAAATTACATCTGGAATACCTCAAACTGAGGTAAGCATTCTTAGTAGCAATCCCCTCTCTCATCTCTCTCATTCTTTTTTATTTATTTATTGGAGTGGGGGGTGGGAATGCATGAATGCCATGGTACACATGTAGAGGCGAGGACAATTTTCCAGAGTTTGTTGAGATAGGGAACCTGTCTATCTCTCTTTGAAAAACATTTTTAAAATTTTAATTTTTTTTATTTATCAATGGGGTGTGTGTATGTGTTTGTGTGTGTACAGGTCAGAGGACAAGTTGGAGGGATTGGTTCTCTTCTAGCATGTGGGTTCCAGAGATCAACCTTAGTCATCTAGCTAAGTGTGTTCCCAGTCCTTGTCATGGTCTCCTGCTTCTGCAGCTGTGTTGCGTGCCTCAGGCTGACTGGCCCAGGCGCTTCCAGCAGATCTCTGCCATCCTGCAATGGGAGTGTTTGGTTTACAGATGTGTACTAGCATATTTGACTTTTTATGTGGGTTCTGGGGCTTTCTAGCTCAGATTATAAGACTTTCACAACATGTACTTTTACCCATCGAGTCCCTGTTTTTGTTTTTTTGAAACAGCATCTTACTGTGTAGCTTAGGCTGACCCCAAACATAATCTTTCTACTTCAGTCTCCTAGGGGTTCTAGGAATGTGTCACTGTGCCTGGCCATCTGTTTTTAACCCTGCCTTCTATCTGCATCATTTAAAATGTTTCACTTAGGGCTATTAAATTAGCCCTGTGGGTAAAGGTGCCTGTGGCTAGAGCCTGACAACCCAGGTTGGAACCACGTGTTAGAAGGGAGCAAAGTGATTTCTCCATGTGTTGTAGCATAGATGCATACAAGCCATGCATGTATACAGAATTAAAAATAAGTAAATGTTTCTTTCTCTACCTACTCTGGAAAATACTTTGGCTGGCATAGTGAGGAGTTGCCTTTAAAACAGTCATCTGTTACATATACCACTGTGATCTTAATAGTAACTTTATTGGCATAGGATTAGAGTTGGAGAGGATTATGTCTTGGAATAGTAACAATAGCAGATGTTCCTTTTAAATCGTTAATTGGTAGCTGGTGAGAGTGAAATTTCTTTGGATTCTTATTTCAAGATGTATGAAAACAGGTTTCATTTGAGATCTTGTGTTCTGCTTTATACTTTCAAAATAGAGGGGTTTGTTTGCTTCTTTGTTTTGTTTGCTTTGGTTTTTTGAGACAGTGTTTCTCTGTAGCTCTGGCTGTCCTGGAATTCACTCTGAAGTCCAGGCTGGCCTTGAACTCAGATCCACCTGCCTCTGCCTCCTGAGTGCTGGGATTAAAAAGTGTGCACTGCCACTGCTCTGTGCAAAGTAGAAATTTGTGAAATTACTTTAGAATTCAGTGAAGTAGTGTTTTTTAACTGTTAAATTACATGTCCTGGAACCAAGCATACTCTCACGCTTTCTGGAAACAGTTGTTGTGTTAAGCTTAAGGATGGTTACTGCTAATGTGTCAGTATTTTCAGTTAGACCTTAAGAAATGACCAACTTTTTTTAAAACAAGAAATTACAGTTTTCTCTCATTTTTATTCATCATCGCTTAGAGAATGCAGAAGAGGGCTGAACGATTCAATGTACCTGTAAGCTTGGAGAGTAAGAAGGCTGCGCGGGCAGCTAGGTGAGTGTTTCTAGCCTTTTGGACACAAGGTGGAGACGTTATAAAGGTGTAGGAAGTCAGATCTTTGTTTCTAGACATAATTGTTGATTTTAAGCGAAGCAGTGTTCTCATTAAAATTAATGAACACAGTTTGGGTCAGAACATTTCTGCTGATTTGATTATGTTAGCTGTGTATTGGGTTTTGTCATCATGGTCAGGGTTTATAATAGGTGAGAGTCAGGGACTGACAGCTGCTCCTGAGTCTAAGAACTTCTTTTAGTGTACTCTTGGACTCTGGTGAGAAGGAAAGTCAACTGAACCTCTTTCATGGGGTTGTTAGAATTAGCTAATGATTGCAAAGTTTGAGATCACAAGGAAGAAGTGTCATGTACCCTTGACACGGACACAGACAACTAAGAGTGTGAACAGCTTCCTAAAATTCAGCTTGTCTTTTCTTCCTACAGGTTTGGGATTTCTTCTGTTCCAACAAAAGGTGAGAATGCTGAGGTTCTTCTGAGAAAGTTTACTTTCTCTCTTTTCTGGCATAGATTCCATTCCTCCAAATAAAGTAAGTTTGTTAGTTCTAGAATCCCTTAAGAGTCATAGCTTTTACACCTCTTAAGACCTCAGGGACAATTAAGAGAAGGTTCTGAAATTATGAGAAAGGAGATCTCACCACTTGTTTTCCTTTCCTAGGACATCTAAGAAATTTCTGGTACCTTGTTGACTTATTTCCATGTCTTTCTAGCATAACATTATTGTGTACTTTTTCAGGCTCTGAGCTAACATTAAGTGCTAAAGTGACGGAGACTATATTTAACTTCACAATTTTACTTTTAAGAGCTTAACAAAGAAGTAGTCTTTGATAGACTTAGCCACGAGGCTTATGTTATTATATACATTGATTAATAATTGGAAAAATTTTCTAATATAGGATTAATTCAGTGTATACTATAGAATAGTAGACTGTATAGACTATTAAAGTGATATTTTAAGGGCAGAGGAGGTGTCTCAGTGAATGAGTAAAGTGCTTGAGGAGAGTTTGAGCCCCAGAACGCAGATTTAAAAAACAGCAGAATATGGTGATGTGTACTTACAGTCCTAGGGACCTTCTGGCCAGCCAACCTGCCTAATTGGTGAACCTTAGGGCAATGAGAGTCCGACCCTGTCTCAATAAAACAAAACAAAGTGGACAGGGCCTGAGGAACCATGCCTGAGATTGTTTTCTGGCCTCCCATATATTCAAAATATATTATTTTAACTTAGGGTAGAGCAATGTATTCCTGCAATCCTAGCACTGGGACTAAGGCAAGAGAATTGTTGGTTTAAATCCAGCCTTAGCTAGGTAGTAAAAACAAGCAAACAAAACAACAACAACAAACTGTCTTAAGCTGGGTGTGGTGGCACTCACCTTTAATCCCAGCGCTTGGGAGGAAGAGGTAGCTGGATATCTGAGTTTGAGGCCAGCCTGATCTACAGAGTGAGTTCTAGGACAGCTGGATCTACACAGAGAGAAACCCCATCCCATCTGGAAAAAAACTGGGGGTGGGTAGGGCTATCTTAAAAAAAAAAAAAAAAAGAAGGGCCTAGTGACTGGGTATGTATCTCAGTTTATTAGGTAGCATGCAAGAGGTTCTGGTTTTGAGACCTCGTATTTTATAAACCAGGCATTATAGTGCATACCTGAAATACTGGCATTTGGATAGTGGAAGCATGAGGATCAAGTTCATGTCATCTTTAGCTACATAGGGTGTTTGAGGCCAATTTATATTGCATGGGACTCTTATCAAAAATTCTAGATGCTGGGAATATAGCCTAGAAGAAGAATGCATGCTTAGCATATTAAAGGCCCTGGGTTTGATCCTTAAAACTTACCCGCCTCAAAGAGGTATAAAATATTTATCAGTTAGAAAGATAAGTGAAAAGGCAAGTTCTATAATCATATCACCAGATATGTTACTGTTTTATTCATAAGAGAGGAAGTATGTGGGTATGAAGAAAAGATCAGAAGAATATATACTGAATTGTTTGTATTCACCAGGTTCTGTTACTGGAAGTTTGAATGACTTTGCCTTTAAAAAAAATCCATACAATAAATACGAGTTTTTTTTTTTTTTTTTGAGATAGGGTCTCTCTGACTGACCTGGAACTCTCTATAGACCAAGCTGGCCTTGAACTCAGAGATTCTGCCTCCTGAGTGCTGGGATTCAAGGCATACATCACCTCACATGGTTTCTAAGTTGTGTCTTAGAGAAGAATAGAGCACCTGTTCTCAAGGATTTAATGTAGCCACAATCCAATCCTGTTATCTTGTGACCTTTCAGTAATTTAATGTGTTAAGAAAATATGTACCGGGCTGGAGAGATGGCTCAGAGGTTAAGAGCACTGCCTGCTCTGCTCTTCCAGAGGTCCTGAGTTCAATTCCCAGCAACCACATGGTGGCTCACAGCCGTCTGTAATGAGATCTGTTACCCTCTTGTGGTTTGTAGGCATTCACGCAGACAGAACACTGTATACATAATAAATAAATAATTCTTTAAAAAAAAAAAGAAAGAAAATATGTCCCAAAGAGTTGTGTTGCTGTACTTGCAAAAACACCAAGGCTAGGAGCATAACCATGCAATTGTTCCCAGCACTCTAAAAAAGAATAAGAAAAATGCTTGCTGCCGTCACTAATATTTTAGAAATGACATATATTGTGACTATTGGTTATAACAAAAGAAATGCAGTAGAATTGGTATGGGTAGTATAGAGTTGACTTAAATGATGATGCTTTATGAAGAAAAATGAAAGCAAAAATTAAGCTAGATGATGAGGCCCAAGTGCTGTAATCCCAGCACTTGGGAGGCTGAAGCAGAAGAATCGCCACAGATTCAAGACCAACCTGATTTACAGAGAGACTCTCAAGACCAGTCATGGTGGCACAAGCCTTTGAGCCAGCATTGGGAGACAGAGGCAGATGGATCTTTCTGAGTTCCAGGATAGTCAGGGCTGTGTAGAGAGACCCTGTCTCAATATACCACAAAAACAAAAAGCAAAAAAAAAAAAAAGAACAAAATAAAACAAAAAAACAATTCTTTCCCATACCCCCAAGAAAGCTAAAATTAATAGTCTGTAAAGGAATCACTAAAGCAATATATAAGTATTATTTATACATTCTGACATATTAGAACTATGGAATAAGCTGGGTGATGGTGGTGCACACCTTTAACACCAGCACTAGGGAGGCAGAGACAGGTGGGTCTCTGTAAATTTGAGGCCAGCCTGGTCTACAGAGCAAGTTCCAGGACAGGCTCCAAAGCTACAGAGAAACCCTGTCTCAAAAAACAAACTACAGAATAAGTCTTAGAAGACTTAGAAGAATTTAGGAAATGTAAAAAGAAATACTATTTTGAACCAGAGCATAAGACATTCAATAGTTACCATGTAAATGTCTATAGTGGGGAGTTAGGGAACCTCTTATGAGATAAAGGTTAGTTAAAAGTTTGAAAAATTTTGTTGTGGGATAGCTCCCAGAGAAGACTGCTCAGATATAGGTTTAAGCCAATAGAAAGTCTTTATTGGGCTGGAGAGATGGCTTAGCGATTAAGAGCACTGACTGGTCTTCTAGAGGACCTGGGTTCAAATCCCAGCACCCACATGACAGCTCACAACTGTCTGTAATGCTAGTTTTAAGGGACCCGACACCCTCACACAGACAAGCAAAACACCAATGCACATAAAATTAAAAATAAAAAGTTTTTTTTAAAGGAAAAAAGAAAGTCCTTATTATCTGGCTGGTAACTTGGTGTTTGGGATCCCAGTGTCCAAGCCTTTACCAGGGTGAGCTTTTATGCACAGAAACAATGTCCTTGGTTGGTAATACTTCAGTTAACAAGAACAGTTAGCCAGGAGTAGAGCTACAGAAGCCAAAAAGCATGGTTAGTACATTAGAGACTTTCTTAGAACTATGGAATTTGATGGGTTAGGCCTTTGTTTTAATTTTGGCATATGATGTGGTCTATGTGCTGAGTTTTACAGCCTGAATGTGCTTCCATTATGAAATCAGTTGTGCTAGGGTTTCAGGGGCCCAGTTGCTGTTTGGAACAGATAATTATCCTTGGGTATAGTGGTACCTACCTGTAATTCAAGTTCTTGAGGGTGGAAAAGTGGATGATGGAGGGTTTGGGGTTTGAGGTCATCCTCTGCTATATAAATACTGTATTGTTACTTTTCTGTTATGGTAAAACATCATGATGAGAGGCAAGTTGAGGAAGACAGAATTTATTTTGGCTGATGAATCCAGGAGTATAGGAGTCCATCATGGTGGAGCAGAGAGCTCATATCTTGAAACATAGGCACAGAGCATAGAAAGTGAACTAGAATTAGGCTAGGCTTTTTTTTCCTCAAAGCCCACTCCAGGAAGGCCACACTTTCCTGAACCTCCTTAAACACCACTACTAGCTAGGGGACCAGGTGTTCAAATGTCCACGTTTTTGTGTGGCACTTCTTGCCGTTTAACCACCATACATACATACATACAATTTGTAACTCATTGGGGTTTTTATTCAGAGGTCTTTGAACATTCCAGTGAGTCTGATTTTTACTACCCACAAAAGAAATCTTGTACCTATTATCAGTGATTCTTCATTCCCTCTTCTACCCCAGTGTTAATTACCATCTTTTTCCTTTAGCCTCCCGAATTACAGATCTGCCCTACTAGTCCCCTTCTGTATGCCCATTTTTGATGTTTAGGTTTTTTTGTTTTTGTTTTTTGTTTTGTTTTAAGACAAGGGTTTCTCTGTGTATCCTTGTCTGTCTTGGAACTGTCTCTGTAGACGAGGCTGGCATCCAACTCAGAGGTCCACCTGCTTCTGCTTCCCAAATGCTGGGATAAAGGCTGTGCCACCTCCACAGGGCATGTGCGTCTTACCTGTTTGTGTATAAATAGTACTTTGCCACTGAGCATCATTCTCAGCCTAACATGTTCCCAAGATGGGTATTAAAGAATATTTTATCCCTTTTGTTGCTTATTATACATTCCATTATGTGGATATGGTCTGTTTTATTTAACCAGTTATTAACTGATAATTGTTTATTGCTTTCACTATTTGTCTGATACAGTTAATGATGCTGTGAATATTTGTTTTTAAGTTTTTGTATAGGTGGATGTATGTTTTTCAGTTTCTTGAACCCATGTCTAGAAGATAACTTAGATGGAGTTGGTTCTCTTTTTTTCTCCTTTACTTGGACTCTGGGGATAAACCTTTACCTGCTGAGTCACCAGCACCAATGTCAAATTCTTATATTTTTGGTTGTGAGCCTAGCCTTTAATGGCTGAGCCATCTCTCCAGCCCAGCCCATGTCAAATAACCACAAAAGAATCTACGGAGGTAACTTATCAATTCTGTTGTAGGAATTCTATTTTTAATTAATTTGATTTTTGAGACAGTCTCATGTATGTCTTTAAGGTTTTTATCTTGTGTGTCATGTTTATGCTCTTAATTTGATTTGAAGATTTAATTTTATGAGTTTTAACAATATTAAGTAATTAAACATTTTTCTCCCCTTAGGTCTGCCATCTGATACCAAGCCTATGGTATGAAATCTTTTTTTCTCTTGCAAGCCGATCTTAATTCTGTGTAGTTCTAAAGATAGACTTTGTCTATAGGAGACTCGAGGTCATGAGCTTGGTAACTGTTTTCAGTATAGTGTACCTTGATTTTTAAGTGTTTGAAGACTGGGGAACATAGAAAAATTGCCACGTCTTCAAGTTACTATAGATAACCTTCTTTCCTACCAGCCATCATTTTGAAAGAGTAAGTAGAGTTTTATTAGCTAAAAGATAACCCTCAAGTTTTAGGCCTTACAGATTTTGGTAGTGCCTAAATTTCCATTATTTATTTATTTATTTTTTTTGAGATAGGGTTTCTCTGTGTAGTCCTGGCTGTTCTGGGACTCACTCTATAGACCAGGCTGACCTTGAACTCGAAAATCTACTTGCTTCTGCCTCCCAAGTACTGGGATTAAAGGTGTGCACCACCATGCCTGGTTTAAAACTAAACCAAACCAAACACTTTTTTAATGATTTGTTTTTGGAGAGGGGTTGCCCCAGTGCGTGTGTGGTGATCAGAGGACAGCCTTGTGGAGTTGGTTCTTCATCTGGACTCAGGTTCTGAGGATAACCCGCCAGGCTTGTGGAGCAAACACCTTCACCTGCTGAGCTACTTCACCAGCACCAGCGTCTGATTCTTTTTTTTTTTTTTTAGAATTTATTATTTTATGTATGTGAGTGGTCTATCTGCATGTACGCCTGCAGACCAGAAGAGGGCAGTAGATCCCACTATAGATGGCTGTGAGCCACCATGTGGTTTCTGGGAATTGAACTCAGGACCTCTGGAAGTGCTCTTAACTGCTGAGCCATCTCTCTAACGCCGCCCCCCACCCCCACCCCTAGTGCCTGATTCTTAATAACTATGAAGAGTCTGTGGAAACAACTTAAATTCTATCCATATACTGTTCTTTTTTTAAAAAGTCAGTTAATTGTTTGAAACCGGGTCTCATGATTCCTAGACTAGCATCAGTCTTGCTTTCATCTGAGGATGGCCTTGAACTTCGGGTATCTCTCCTCTACCTCAAGAATGGGGGGATGGCAGGCATGCCCCAGGGTGCATGCTAAGGAGGCACCTTACCAGCTGAACTACATCCTCAGCCTTTTGTCTCTTAAAAACCAGTGCCTGGGAGGCGGAGGATCCTTATGCAGGAGTCAGTGGTCCACTTAGTAAATTCCAAGCAAGCCAAGGCTACAAGGTCTGATGTCATTAAAAACAAAAAAGATGAATGAGAGTAAAAATGTAGAACTAGAGTAGTATTTTCAGGACCATTGTGACTACTTAGCATGTTTTAAAAATAGAAATGTGTTGTGATAGAATATATTCAACTATGAAATCCTGCTATAGTTAGTGTTGTAACTAAAATTGAAATTTTTGTTACTGTTATTATTAGTTAACATGTTCTAAATGATCATACCAAGGCTTCCAAGAAAAAAAGAATTGAGTTGAGCAGTATCATTTGTCTTCTAAAATTGTCTTTGTTGAAGATACAATTAGGAATCACTTAACAGAGTTTAGTGTGACAGTATACGCTTGGAATCTCAGCATTCAGGAGGCTGAGGCAGGAGGATTGCTGTAAGTTTGAGGCCATGCTGGGTTATATAGTGAGTTCAAGGCTATCTTGGACTTCATAGTGGGCCTTTCTTAGAAAACTAGAAACCAGTCAAACAAGCAAATTACTTTTAGAGATTGTGTGGTAGGAATTCATGAATTGGAACTGTGAATGATGCATTTATTTTTAGAGGTAATGGTTTGTATATATGGTAGTTTGGCCTTTCCACCATTGATGAGTAAAGGAGTTAGAGCTCAATCCTTCATCGTCACCACATTTCAGAAGAGACTTTTTATTATCATTGGGATGAGTAGGTGTCACTTAGTTCCTGAGTTTGTCGCATAGGGTATGTTTGATGTCAGTAGGCTTTTTTGAACTCAGTTTTAGACCATAATTTCTGCCTTTTCTTTATCTTATTCTTATTTTTTTAATGTATCTCTATTTTTGTAGGTTAACCTGGATAAACTAAAGGAAAGAGCACAGAGATTTGGTTTGAATGTCTCTTCTATTTCTAGAAAGGTAATGTATGTTTTTAGAATATTACAACAGCCTGGGAAGCCTATACAGATTGGAAATGACTTTCGTGAAGTCATTTTGTAAAGTTGACTTTTTTAGCACTTCATTTTTATAAGAACATTTGAATACCATTGCCTCACTTGATTATATCATATGAATTGTTAATAGAATAAATTTGTCCTCTGGATTGTTTTCATAGCTTATACCCAGATTAAAACACAGCTGGTTTCTCTTTGGTACATTGTTGAATATAGGGAGGCAGGTCGGTCTCTGAAGTAGTAGCCCATCTTTAAAACAGTAATGTTAAAGTGTGCTTTAACTATTCTGATACAGGTGTAATGGGAATTAAAGAGAAAACAGGTACCTAGAGTAAAAATTGGAGTTCGTATAGAACAAAAATAAGATCTTTCATTTTTTCCTGCTCTTCTGCTAACTGATATTGTTTAGTTTTTTAAGCAAGATAACTTTGTTAATACCATTCTGGGGTGACCACTTTTCCAAGGCATACTTGTCTTTGAATTTTGTTAGGAATGTTGGAAAAAATGATAAACATTCTCCTTTTTCCTTACTGTAGTCGCTAATTTTAGTTTTGTGAGACTGGAGGCACATTTCTTAGTTTAAATGGTAGCAGGCAGGCTCAAAGCAGGAAAAAAATCACTTAGGAAACAACAACTTTTGGGGCTGGAAACGTAGCTCAGATGTTACCCTTGCATCCATGTCAGCTAGCTCAATCTGCGCTCCCAGCTCAAGAGGATTCTCCTGAAGCTAGAGCTCATTTTTCTGCTTTGTTGGCAGTCAGGAAGGCTCAGTGATCTTGTCTACATGCCCCAGAGTGCTGGGATTGCAGGTGCAAGTGAGATCACTCCTGGTTTATCTGACTTGATCATTCCTAGTTGCTAGGATCTGAACTCTGGTATTCATGTTTGCATAGCAAATGCTCTTTATCACTGAAGCATCTCTCCATCCTTTTGGAGTTTTTGTATGCATATTTTTTCTTGTTTATGTTTGTGTTTATATATGTACACAAATGTATATAGGTACATAAGTGCCATGGCACATGTGTGGAGGTCAGAGGACAATTTGTGAGATTCGGTTATCCCTTTCCCGCCATCTGGGCTCTAGGATTTAAATTCAGGCCATCTGTCGTCTTGGCTTATTTTAATTTTATGTGTATGGGTGTTTTAACTGTTCACACACACACACACACACACACATACCACTTTTGTGCCTACTGCCCTTTGAGGTTCAGAAGAGGGTATCAGAGTTCCTGTAACAGGAGTTACAGATAGTTGTGAGCCATCATGTGGGTGCTGGGAATCAAACCTGGGTCCTCTGGAAGACTAACCAGTGCTTAGCCATTGAACCATCTCTCCAGCCCGTGCAATGAGCTATCTTTTTAGCTTGCGTGCGTGCGTCTCACTCTGTAGTTGAAATTGAACTCAAAATTCTCTTAATGTCTCAAGTAGCTGGAATTACAGGCATACACCTCTATGTCCAGTTTTATAGAAGTATCTGTCAAACCACATATTTAGACCACTAGAATTATGATTTTTAAAAAAATATTTTCTTCATTTTGCTGGCAAATATGTCTGTGTGCTTGGTGCCTCAGGACAGAATACAGGGATTGGATTCCCTTGAGCTGGAGTTACAGATGGTTGTAAGCTGCCATGTGGGTGTCAGAAATTGAGTACCATTTGCAAGAGCAACCAATGTTTTGTTCTTGTTTTTTTTGTTTTTGAGACAGGGGTCTCTGTGTAGTCCTCGATATCCTGAGACGGCCTCAATCTCAGAGAGATCCCCCGCCTTTTACTCCCAAATGCTAAGATTAAAGGTTTGTGCTATCAAGCCTGATGTAGCCATTGTCTAGAACTTCCTATGGAGACTAGGCTGGCCTTGAGCTCAAAGAGAGCTCTATTCTATTTCTATTTAAATGTCATGGTTCCTCATACACAGATTTCACTCAGGTAGGTATGTGACAGTGTGGGTTTGTAGTTACTAAGGGCTTGCCTGCCTTACTGAAATACCTGCAGACTTGGTGCTGGCAGCAATCCATGAGTAAAGAAAGGGGGAAGATTGTAAAAGCAGATGAGCCAAGAAGAAAAATTATTTATGACCCCCCCCCTTTAACCACAATCTCCTCATCTTTTCATGTGGATGTAGAGCTTAGACGCATTAAAAATCTGAGAAAACAGAATGTTTGCAATTTTTGGCTGACTTTTACATGAATGCTCATTTCAGTTTTTAGCTCTACAAATGTGTTTTACCTGTTAGGTATTACATAGAAACTTAGTGAACTCTGTCTTCCCACCCTTACTCCCATTCTTTAAGCTGTCTCCCCTCTTTCGCTCTTTCTCTTTTTTTTTTTTTTTTTTTTTCCGACACAGTTTCTCTGTATTGTTTTGGAGGCTGTCCTGGAACTCGCTCTGTAGACCAGGCTGGCCTCGAACTCACAGTGATCCGCCTGAGTGCTGGGATTAAAGGCGTGCGCACCAATGCCCAGCTTTCCTTCTTTCTCTTTGCCTAATGAAAGTAGCCCTATTAATTCTATTTTATCTTTCTTTGCCTCTTCTGGAATATTATCAGGTTTTCTCACACTTGGAGCTTTTCATATGGTTAGCTATCCTACCAAGTTTGTCTAGATTGTTTTATTCTTCTTGGTGGATGGTAGTGGGGCTTGTACATGCTTGTCAAGCATTCTACAACAGAACTGTATAACTCTACGCTAGCCCTAGATGTCCCTGGGTATTTTCACTGATTTGTGTATATGTGTGTGTATTTCTGTATGTATATACATATGTATATAATGAGAAATGTAATAGACTGTTAATGTTGAGAAGATTGTCTCTGAAATATGTTGAGATACTGAAGAGTCAATTCTACTAGTGTGTGTTGTCTCATCCTTTGACCCCAGCACTTTTAAGATAGGAGGCAGGAGGACCAGGAGCTCATGTTCAACACCAGCCTGGGCTACATACTCTCAAAAATCAGAGAAGCGGTGTGGAGCCCTCTGTTTTTCCTAATCTTCTTTCACCTATTTAAGGTAAAAAATAAAACAAAAGCCTACTGTCTCTGTAAATGGAGGTTTCTCATCCCTCCTGACAGTTCCCAAATAGCCATCTAAGGCTTAATTATAATTGTCTGGCCAACAGCTCAGGTATATTACTGACTAGTTCTCAAAATTAAATGAACCCATTTCTTTCTTTCTTTTTTTTTATTTAACTTTTTACACATGTTACTCTCAGTTCCCTTTCCCTCCCTTCCTCCCCTGGCCCCCCATTCCTCCCAAACCCCCATCCCACTCCATCTCTCTTCTGCTCCCCAGAGAAGGTAAGACCTTCCATGAGGGATTTTCAGAGTCTGTCATATAATCCTGGGCAGGGCCTAGGCCCTCCCCCATGTGTCCAGGCTGAGAGAGCTTCCCTCTATGTGGAATGGACTCCCAGAGTCCATTTGTATGCCAGGAATAAATACTGTTCTACTCTCTAAGGTCCCATAGATTGCCGAGGCCTCTTCTCTGACACCCAGGTTTGGGGGGAGTGGTGTCTGAATCAGTCCCATGCTGGCCCCTCAGTCACCAGTCTGGGGTCCATGCATTCCCCCTTGTTTAGGTCAGCTGCTTCTGTGGGTTTCGCCAGCCTGGTCTTGATTCCTTTGCTCATCACTCCTCTTTGCAACTGGATTCCAGGAGTTCAGTTTGGTTTTTAGCTGTGGGTGTCTGCCTCTGCTTCCGTTAGCCACTGGATGAGGGTTCTAGGATGGCATATAAGGTAATAATCAGTCTCATTATCAGGGGAGGGCATTTAAGGTAGCCTTAATGCCAGTTGGTATTGTTTTTGTAGGTCTGTGAAGATCTCACTAGTGCCAGATCTCTCCTCCACCTTATAATGGCTCCTTCTATTATGGTATCTCTCATCCTTCTCTATTCTTGCCCTGGCTCAACCTTCCTGCTCTCCCGTGTCCTCCTCTCCCCTCCTCTTCTCCCCCTCTCTTTCTCCTCTTTTTCCCATCTCCCTCTCCCCTTGCCTCCCCCTTGCTCCTAATCCAATCAGGAGATCCCCTCCAATAACCCTTTTCTGGGTTACCATGCATATCTCTTTTAGGGTCCTCCCTGCTTCCCAGACTCTCTAGCGGTGGGATTGTAGGCTGACAATCCCCTGCTCCATGTCTAAAATCCATACTCAGGATGGTTTCTTCTAGTGCCATCCATTTGCCTGCAAATTTCAAAATTCCATTTTTCTTTCCTGCCATTGTGTAGATGTAGGACATTTTCTCTATCTACTCTTCAGTTGAGGGGCATCTGGGTTACTTCCAGGTTCTGGCTATTACAAATAATGCTGCTATGAACATAGCTGAGCAGATGTCCTTATTGTATGAGTATGTCCTTATTGTATGGGCATATGCCTAAGAGTGGAATTGCTGGATCTTGTGGTAGACTGATTTCCATTTTCCTGAGGAGTCTCCATACCAATCTCCACAGTGACTGCATAAGTTGGCATTTCTACCAGCAGTGGAGGAGTGTTCCCCTTTCTCCACATCCTCTCCAGCATAAATTGTCATTAGTGGTTTTGATTTTAGCCATTCTGACAGGAGTGAGATGGTATCTCAGAGTTGTTTTGATTTGCCTTTCCCTGATGGCTAAGGATGTTGAGTGCTTTCTCAAGTGTCTCTCAGCCATTTTAGACTCCTCTATTGAGAATTCTCTACCCCACTTTTCTTGAGTTCTTTGTAAATTTTGGAGATCAGCCCTCTCTGTCAGATTGGAGTTGGTGAATATCTTCTCCCATTCTGTGGGCTGTCATTTTTGTCTTGTTGACTGTGTCCTTTGCCTTGCAGAAGCTTCTCAGTTTAAGTAGGTCCCACTTATTAATTGTTGACCACAGTGTTTGTGCTACTGGTGTTATGTTCAGGAAGCAGTCTCCTGTACCAATTCGTTCAAGGGTACTTCCTACTTTCTCTTCTAAGAGGTTCAGTGTGGCTGGATTGATGCTGAGGTCTTTGATGCA